CAAAATCTTATTCTGAACACACATTCAGTATATTGGAACATACAGGGCCATGGAGCAGGCACGAATGCCATGACCGGGGGGGGGGGGGGTGCATGGCACATTAATGAACCAGCAAACAGAAGGTGATAGTACTTGAAAAAATAATGGTGTCCGCATATTGAGTATTTGTAATAAAATTGCTGAGGCTTCAATCCTACATATACTGAGACTGTTTATATCACAGTATACACAATGGTGTCCCACCAAGGTCATTAATTAGACTTGTGCTGTATTTTACTTAGTAGCATGGGTTGCGTCTAATCTTCCCCAGATCAACATAATTAAGAGTAGAACATGGACTCATTTGACCCTGTGCAACATGTAATGCAAGAGATTTGTTTTTAAAACAATACTGAATCCCATGAATAGTGACTTACAGAAAATAAACAGAACTCCCCCACCCTGCCAGTTCAATTGCGTTTCACAATTGACTATATTTGACAGTAAGAAAATAGATGTTCTTTAGGTTTCACAGTTGATAGAAAAAGGCACTAAACCATTTCAGCCAAAATAGATTTCTGCAACATCTATTCAGCATTTGTAATGTAAATATGGCATAAAAATTTAAAAACAAATCAGGGATTCTAGGGCTTGTTCCAAGAACTGCAGGTCTGAGGCTAAGGTGTGTAACCTAGAAAGTTACTGTGGGCACTCTGTGTCTGTGCTGGCTATTTATTCCCCTGTGATTGCAAAAGGGAACACCAGCCCTGGCAATTCACAAGCAGAAGGAAGCTGCTGGATTAGCCAAGGCTGGTAGATGCCAGGAGTCAAGCCGCCTATATTTGTAGGTCAACAGAACAGTGAATTTCTAGTTTCCAGCTCAGCTTGCTCACCTTGAGACTCCCTGAACTGGAAAACACAACTACTAGGAGTCAGTATGGCTCCTTTTCATTCTGACCTGACACCAGAAAAAGAAAAAACAGCTTCACTTTCTGTATTGAAAATCATCCTATCAGAATTCTCTAAAATTATAAAAACAAAAAGCAAAGGAAGCACATCATATTGTCTGAATGCTCCCACCCCGATTCATTCAGTGTTACTAGTATGGTTACATATCCAGTTGAATGCAGAGTCTGGTATTTCTAAGAAAGTAGCCCATAAAGGCTGCAGCACTGAAAAGGGTTTTCTCGTAGACAGCTGAGTCTATAGCATTCATTCAGGTCTGTCATTTGTTCATCTGACTCGAGTCAAGGCTCACAGAGGAGTTTCTTCCTGTTCCCAGGAATGGAGGAATATGAAAAGATGCTGGAAGAGATGTTAACCTTTTAAGTTTAGGATGTTGCACAGGTTTCGGCCTGTGAAAAGAATGCCAACTCTGTGCTCTCCTCACCGCTGCAGATTTGTGTTGAGCTTGTCCATTAAGTGGCCATTTCTTCTCTTGGGTGCTCCAGGAGAGAGATTCTGCTAGCCCTTCAGGCTCAAGAATGGAATGGTCGAGCTGTGAATTCATGGGTTCATAACTAGTGTCAGTATTGTAACTTGTTTTCAAATGGGCTGGATCACCAGGATTTGAGACTCCCTGCCAATGGAGGTCAGGTAGCTTTGGGTGCGAAGGCGTCAAGTATGTTGAGAGTCTTACATTGTCCCCATCTCCCAGAGGGGAACAGTCAGGTTGCTATGGCCTCTCAAGGTACACTGAGCCTAAGTTGTGATGTTCCTCTGATGAGGAAGTATCTGGTTTTGGTTGTTCAAATTCCTATGGAGGGAGCATTTCATCAGAAGAATATCCTGAGATCATAGCACCAAAGGCTGAGTCACCTGTTGTGGAGAAAAATGTGGAAGTGAGGATGCAGTTTGTCCCCAAATGAAACACAACTACTACAGCTGGAATTTTTTAAAATAGCAATTTCTTAACTTGGCCTTGATGCTTGCTCCTTTCAAGGCATGTTTATGGGGAGGGGGCGAAGGAAGACTGCTAAATTTCCCTGGGGAAAATGGTATATTTCAGGCAGTGCGCTAGTGTGTATAACAAGGCATTTGTGATGTCTTGTGTTGTTTGAACAGTGCTGTATCCATAAATTGACTTATTTTTCATGATCAAAGCACCAGAGAACCCATGGCTTGTAGCTGGGTGATTCAGGGTGCCTTCTTTGCAGCTTGGCTTACTGTGATACCCAAATTCAACAAAGCAAATTTATCATGGGTTGTTGGGAGTGGCTAGAAAGCCATCTCTCAAAAGCAGGAAAAATGAATTTCTTCTAGTCTCGACAATGCTACCCCCATTCTCCTTCATCCCTTCACAGTGTCCTCCTCCCTGTAGTCCTTAAAAAATGAAGATAAAAGGACATTGAAGAGTGGCATGAAAAAGTCTGCAACTTTTCTAATTATAATAATTTAATAATACTATTGAGGGCTTGCATAAATGTGCACATTTGAAAGCTATGGAATTTGCATAAATTTCTCATCTGCTTTGCCACTATGTCCTATCTTTACCAGCCTCCTCTGTCTCACTGCTGTATAGCCCATACAGGGATCTCACAGCTATCAACAAAGAGCAGCAAAGGGAAACAAAAAAACGCAAGGGGTGGCAAGGAGCTAAACCAGCTACAGGAGACGAGGGCCTTTCAAACTGTGACTGAAACAGTACATGAAAGCAGCCTTTTAAAGAAGAGGGTGGTTGCTGTACTACCAAGGCAAGCACAGAAGCAGTGGATGAAACGGACAAGACACCAACAAGCGGGGGAGGGTATTCTGGGCTAACTAGCACAAGGCTCTGGATTTTTTTTCCCCCAAATGTGTGAACACATTACCAGTTACCAGGGCTCAGAAAATCAATTCAATTTGACAAGATCATGCAAAACAGGGAGGGGAGTCTTCCCCAAGAGCTGGGAATCCCCGTGGACCAGTTGCAGAAAGGCTTTGCGCAGAGGCTGGGGAAACAAGGTACTCTGCCATAAAGGCATCTGGGATGCACAGGAAAGGGACTGAGAGGAGAAGCAAGCCATGGGAAGCCACAGGGCGCCTGGACATGAGTTGCGTTAGCAAACTAACTAACCCAGAGTGGCTTATTCTCAGGATGAGCTCACTTAGAGTCCAGTCTATAGAAGGACAGCTCTGAATTTCTTATATTCTGGCACCACCAAGTGGACATTTAAACATTTAATTAGTTCTTACTCAGCATAACACAAATGCAAGCACTTATGCACACAGTTGGGATGAAATCTGTTCCACTCATTCTTAGCACCCATATGCTGAAACCTCCCATAGAGAACCCTATTATTCCCCCTCCCGCACCATTTACATGTACAAGCAATTTAGTGGGCCATTAGGGGCAATTTATTGCATTTGTATGCTGCCCCACAGCCAGAGGCTCTCTGGGTGGCTCACAGTGCAATATAATAAATAGCAATAACAGCCCAAACCATAAAACATAATAGAAGTAAAAATACAATATGAATACAATTGTATAAATAGAACAGGAAAAATAAACACAATATAAGCAATAGCAACAGATAATAAAACAATAAACCAGCAGCAAACCAATAATTCAATCTAAAAACAGAAAATAAATTAAAAAGTCTTAACTTGGTGCCAGAAAGCAAGATAAAGTGGGTACCTATCACACTTCCCTTGGAGGGAGGCCTGGTTGCAAATTCAGCCACCCAGTTCACTTTGATGCAAGTTACTCATGTTTTAGAGCTTGAGTAATCTGTACCAAGCAGAGGAGGAAGGCCAGATGGAGATATGAGAGGCACAAGCATCTCTCCCATTCACCACAATATGCCCTCTGGAATTCTTCTGCATGCAGATACTGTGTCCACATGGACTGAATCTTCCTCTCATTTTATTTAATTTTTCAATCAAATGCATGTACAATTTAAACATAGTGTATTAGTTTAAATGCCTGTAGTTTATTAGCACAAATGTCTGTATTCCAACAAACTATAACCCATGAAGACTGGTGAAGAAAATGATACTTTGCAAAATAGATCCTGAGTGCTTCATTGATTAATATTCTGACACATCCACCCCACGCTTATAACTCCCTGTCAAGCCATCAGCATATATATCACAAATGCAGAATGGATCAGGTCCCAAACTTATTACTTATCCATCCCAAGACATTATACCCCAAAAAGGTACTTCAGGAGGAAGAAAAAGAGAACAGAAGTTAATTTCCAAAGAAAGATGTTAGTCTCTTGTCAAATGGAACCTGAGTAAACCTATTCCTCTGTAACACCTTTGCACTGGTGCTGAGAGCCTAGCACCCAATCCTGCCCAGTTATTTGAATGAATTTTCTATGTTTATACATTGGTAAGAAAGGGGTCTTTGATCCAGAAAACACAATAATTCCTCTGCATTTCTTTTGCCTTCAAAATATAAGATCAGAAAGGATTTAAAACAGGAAAAGCATGTATAGATGGACTGCTTTCCTGGGGAATTGTTTGGAGAACCAAATTGAAAGTTATGTGCAAATGACTAAGTTCTGTTCCTCTGGGTTATGGTAAGCAGAGTTCAGAGTTGCAGGATCTGCATTTTTTTACTAGAACCCATCAGTTGAAGGCAGATGAAAAAGAAATAAGATTTCAAATTAAATAATTACGCATCCAGGAATAACATCTGAGTTCCACATTACTGGAGCCCATAGTCCTTCCACATGGAAATCCATTCCTGGTTACCCCAAGTTTTCTTTATACAGTAATATTTGTTGAAGGGGGTGGCAGGATACTGACCATTTTGTTGGTGCTATTGTTAAACAACTGGGAATTGGAAGTCACTAAAGAGATCTACAGGTAAAATTACCTTCTGCCCAGCCTGCTTTATGTTCCCAGAATATACACAACCAGTAATTTAACTTTCAAATGAAAGATTCCTGTCTGAGGGATCTAAAATAAAAGATAGGAAGAGGACACTGAAGAATTCCCAAGAGAGGAAATGGTTGAATTGGTAGATTGATCAGAGAGCATAGAGATTGACTGATTGATTGATTGAACAGAAGGAGAACAGGCATATTAAAATATTACATGTGTGTCGATTCTGGGAGGAAAGCTCTAGGTCGTTCTTCAGGGCCATCTACTTGCAAAAAGGAATCTACAGATCTATTGCTGAGTCGTATGGGGGCAAGCCGTTGAAAGCTGTTTGGAGAATAGGGTATCTGCACTCTAGCCCTTTGGGATGGCACCACCACCTCTTCACAGGAAAGCCAAGGTGGAAACCTCATGGTAGTGGTTTGTTCAACATCAGCTGAAAATACTGGATTGTCAATGCCTACAAAAAATCCATCAGTGACATGGTCAGTCATTAAGTAATCAGTCATCGAAGATACTTGCATGGAACAACTTCTATACTGAAATTGGCTAAGAAGATACTGGCTTAGTTCACATGACCCAGCCACCCAGTGAAGCTCAATTTATCTGTGATGGCTGAAGTGTTGTGTCAGGCATTTATGGGCTCCATTTTGCACAGGCTCCATGGGTGCCCAGTTTGCAGGGGCTTCATGTACTGTGCAAAATGACACAGCAGGGGTTGCATGAGAGTTAGAAAACCCTTGAATAGGGCTTAGGGTTGTCTGTGGGTTGTCTAATGCTCAAACTATCTTTGCCACCTGGGTTTGCATAACATGACATGCTATTGCAAGCTTGCTACATGCAAGCATGCAAAAACAGTGCTTCTAGGAGCATGGCATAACACAACAGCCCCTGTGGGTAGACTAAGGCTAGGGGGCTGCTGTGCCATGTGAGCAAGGAGATGCTGGTTTCAAGGTGGCTCATCTTCATGGAGAAGGCTCTGGAACTCAGTTGTATCGCTCAAGAACTGGTGGATCAAGGCATACCCAAAGCAGATGACAACACTGTGGTGTCTCCTTAGAAGAAAGTTCCCTGCTTCCTGGCTGGAACTAGCAAAGAAAACTGTTGAAGTCTGCTCCATGGCATTTAAGAGTAGACTACATTTATATCAACAATGCAGAACTTTATGACAAACCCACACTGACTCTATGCCACTGTCTGTCTCAAATTAAAAAAAAAATCAAACCAGATGTGCAGTATGCTGGGTTGGATCCAGATTTAGTCATTATTAGAGTAAACACATTGAAATAAATGGCTGAAGTAACTTCCATAGATTTCAGTGAATCTTCTTAGCATATGAGTAAATCTGGATCCAATCCATTTCCCCCCTTGTTGTTTTGACACCTGTAATTAAAGTTATTATTGATATGTTAAATAATATTACAATATTTAAGAATTATATCTCTTTTATAATACTGCAGATGTGAAATCATGTACTTATTTCCTTACCACTTGTATCTGTGAAGTTCTGTTTGGTGACATTAGCTAGGAAATCCATTGCTGACCCTGTCTGTAGGTGGTCATAATCATTTTCCTCTGGCTCAGAAAACTCAATTTCTAGAAGAGAACAAAATTACCTTAGTATATAGTAGAGATTCATTAATAATCTACTACTACTGAAGCGTGTTCCAATAAAATCTCTGCCACAGTATCGAAAGGAAAAGAAATAACATGGTTAGTATTGAATGCGACAAAGGAATTATTTTGATCCTACAATGCCATTACTTATCTACCTTTGACAGAAGTTTTCCTGGAAATTTGCTGCAGAAATATGTTGGTGACTGCAGCCTCCCAAGTGTTTTGTTTCTACCATTTTTCAAGTCACTTTCTCTTATTTTTCATCACAGCTTAGTTACTGATGTCCTCTTTCTATCAGTTTGTGTGCAAAGGATGGAAAGCAGACTAGGTATTTGGGGCAGGTTGGGAAAATGTCCCTATCCACAACAGAAAACCACCATTAAGGATTAAACACTTTATGAATACAAGTCAGACCATTGGTCATTGGCTCCCATGCTGAGTAACACGACACTTGAGGACTAGTGCCCCTCACACGGGCACAATCTCAGACAAGTTTTGTGCAAGTCCCCTAGTAGCCAGGGAAGTGACAAAGTCAAAGTAGTGGGAAAAGTCAAGGAAGAGTAGTTTATATTAGTGTATATATACATCTTAAATAGATCTATATTTATTGTATCTACATCTTAAAGTGATCCTTCAAGAGAGCACTGAGATTACAAAACCACAAAAGCAAAATGTTTATTGAATAATTCCTTCCATTCCTCATCTAAGCATTACATGTTTTAATGACAGGAAATAGAAAAAAAAGATAAGAACTGCAATGTATTTATAAATGCAAGCCAATATTTTTCAGTGCTAAAGTGTTAAAAGGTGCAGGCAAAATCCTATGGCCTCCCAGCCTTGTCTGGGAGATCATAGGCTTTGTTTTGGAGACTGACCCCCATCCCTGTCCTCATTGTCAGCACAGAAAGAACTACCCTGGCTCCCCTCCCACCCCAGTTACAACCAGACCTCGAAGGGGAAAGGAGTCTGTCACGGAGGCTGGAGAAGTGGTGGCTGGGACTGTGGAGTTTTGCCAGTTGCAATGGATAGGCCAGACCCCTCCCACCCTGGGTGAAAACTACTATCTAGTTAAAATGCAGGGCACATGGTGCAGGCTGGAGGCTGAAACTGCTGCATTTGGCCCATGCACTGGATGTTCAAAAGCCTCCAGCACAGGGATGATAAGGTTGTTCCTGCAGTGCACTAGAATTATTTTAACAGCATGTTTACCTTTTTCCTTTAGGGTTTCAGTAGATACATTGCCATTTGGTATGATACTGCTATTTCTCTGAAATAAACAAAATTATGTGTGTAGAAGTGGAATAAGGTAATGACTTTTAGTTTGACACAAATATTGTACATGTGAATAGAAAATGAACTTTCACGATGGCAGAAAAATTTCATGATACTTGTATTTTATTTCACAACTGAAATATTTAATCCATGAAAAGTTTACCTGTCTCTATACTTTTCTATTGTAAAAATCTAACATTTATTTTGAATTGAAAGAAGCAAATCCACACAAATTCCTATCCAATGAAATAAATTTACATGGATAGATAAATGGAGTCCAATTAGCTGGAATAAAAAGACTTCCACCTTGTCCACCTATAGTGTCTAGCATTTTAATACTCCATTCCTTTACCGGTAGGCTTCTTCCAGTGTTTGGGCAGCAACCAAACATTCATTAGTGGTGGCACAGCATGACTACTAGTGAAGCTGAACTGGCATAAAGCAATGCTAGCATACAGTGAATAGTGTTTGCCAAGGGGAAAGGTGGTGATTTGCTACTGAAAATTGCTGAATTTTGGTGGCAAATTACTTCGTTCCCCATTTGCACTTGCAGGAGCTGTTGCCATTGTGCTGCTGATTTATGGCAGTGCAACATCCTTAGTGCTTAGCACTGCCCAAACATTAGATTCTCCCTATAGCGAGAATTGCCTTGGTTGCAAGTAACTTACTCATTAGTAAAAGTGTACCAGACATTTGAAAAATATTCTTGAGTAAGGCAATGGTAGGATCCATTTTGGTTCAGAAAGCAAGGCATAAATATTCCAAATAAATACATTGCTGTTTGGCTTCAGGTTGGACCTGCAAGAGACCCTAACATGACACAGACTATTTCACCAGCATTGCTGCTGCAGCCTCACATGCTCTGCTCTTACTCTTTTCTGGCCTCTGTCTCTCTTGTGAATCTTGTTCAGCTTCTTTGGCTGGTTCAAGCCCAGTTTGGTGCTCTTGAAAGACTCCAGGCGTTTCCTCATGGTTCTCTGGAAAATCTCCTTGTTTTGCTTATCCTCTTCATTTGGAGTTATTTTATGACGACTATACAAAAGTTTGTGCTGTAGCCAAGATGAAAAGATCCAAATTTAGAAGTAACCATTAGCTATGACATAGGCACTCAACCATGAATCCTCATTTCTCTCCCCATTTTTAAGCCCTTGCTACTGCCTCCCACCACATGCTGGAATGAAGCATAAAGCAATGAGGATTTAGAAGCAACGTTTACTGAATCAAAAATGTTTGTTAATTATACTACCTTGAACAGCTGCAATTATATAAAATATACAAATACCCTCCCCCTGACAGGCACTTGTGTGCACACGCGCACATACACAACTCAACTCAAATCCCCTAAAGTCCCAGCATTCACAATCTTCAGGTGAGCGTGCATTCCAAGATATCCCAACTGCCCTCCCCCAATTATGATCTCCATCTCAGAGCTGCTTTTGACAACTCAAAGAAGAGCTGAAAGAGGAAAAGTGAGTGATTAGTGCTTCCTCTCACCAGGCCTCCAAGTCTCCTCCAAAGATGGAGAGGTGTATGCATGTGTTGGGCTTACAGGGGGTGGGACAAGAAAGGATCATACTTCATTGGGAGTTAAGATGCACATGAAACTCAGGATCTCCCAGACAGTTGGATCCAAAGAACTGGAACTTGTACAACTGTTCACACTGTCATCTAATAACACTCATGCTTCATGGGAGGATGCTCCTGTTCTGCACCAGCCAGTACTCACTACATAGTGTGAGAAAACAACACTACAACAGCTACTCACAGTGTGAGGGAAAATGTCCATTTTAAAATATTTTTTTGGCTCAGATGTTTCTTTCTCCCTAAACAATGCACAAATGATTGATGGTTGGGGGAAGCAGGTATGGCCATCCAATGGATCCCAGAGGACCAGACTGGGACACAGAAGAGTCAGATTTGACCCCAGGGCCAAACCTGTACTGTTAGATGCCTTTGATTCTGGCTTCAAAGTACACTTTTGGCAGGCATGCTCTCACCTCTTGTCTAGGTTTGTACAAATACTGTTGCAGTGTATGGTGAGTGAACATATCTTCTGCATCTCGGATGCTTTTTCTTCTCTGCTCTAGAGCTTGCATATCAAGGCAGACAGAACTGGCAGTTTCTCTCCTAAAGCAAGATGGAATATTTAATTTATTTATTTATTGACTTTCTGTTCATCAAATAGCAAAACTGTCAAACTTGGGAACATTACGATGTAGAAATACTTGAAACCGCTGCATGCACTGACATAAAACTTGCTCACAGCCAACCAAGATGTGCCAAATTCTGACTGACCATTCTGTTTAAACATAGCCTGGTCTAAGAAAGATCTATTTCTACATAGTTACTTATTTGACTCACAAGAGATAGAAGTGAATATGCTCTGATACAATTTGAATGCTTCCCATGATAGAAAGTGTCTTTTCATAGAAAACCAGTACGTCAGTGTGAAAGGAAGGACTGACCTCCTTTTCTTGACAAGTCAGGGGAGTTCTTTACAAGGCTGGGAGGTCAAAAACAAAATCTCATACCTGCAGTCTGTAGTTTAAGATTGCAATCCTTAAGAGACTCAGGCCACAATCCTATGCCCTGTGCCTTCAGTGCATTTAAGCCTCTGAAATCACAAAGCTCACACACATCTCAGAACCAATACAAGGTGCAGTACAGCAGTGGTGAGTTCACTGCTGCATGTCACTATTGCATCTAGATGGCTCCTCCTGACAATTCTTATTAAAGCTCCAGGGAGCAGGAGAGGTGGAGGCTGGAATGCTAACAGAAATCTTCAAAAGAAGTGGGAAGGGAGTGACCATCCTCCCCTCCCCTCCCACACCCAGGCCACTCCCATCCTCTACCAAGGACCCGTGACCTTCTGCATTGTCTGGTGCAGTGGGGGTGGGGAAGGAACTTGCCCTTAGGAGCCCCACCTCCAAAACCGCAGGACCTCAGTGCTGGGACTCTGAATAACTGTACAGCCTCCCTAATGATGTTGGGGATGACCATACTTATTATGAGCTGACATACATAGGCTTGTGCTGCCTGTCTCCTCAGATTGCGAAGCCCCAGTCAGAAGGACTTCAATAAACTTTTCTGAGCCCATGGAAAGAAAGCACAGGCTACCGCCCAGGTAGCCTGTGAGGGGTATGAGTTAGCCTAATCAAATTCTTCAAAGTCCTATTGCTCCCAGTGAGATGGAATCTCTTGCATAAAAGCCATTACCCAAACCGAAATGTGCACATTACTTTCCCAGGCCCTTTAATGTTGACTTGTATAGAATTAATGCTCAAGCTGCCGCAGACATACAGCATGGAACCATGGTCCAGTCCACTTACAGCAGTTGGGAGACAGAGCCCTCTTCATTCATTTGACTGATGATGTTGAAGTCCACATTGGCTGTGTTGTCAATACTTGAGGAGCGGATGAATGCCAGGGAACCTCTTCGCTCTCCCTGTGCAATCAATAAAATATATAAATACATGCATTAGCATTCAGTCAGAATGTTTACCTTGACCCTGAATATATATGCAAAAGTGTGAAAGAGTGTTTCCTTGTATTAATGTGAACCCACTTTTACCCAATAGGCACCAGTTACTGAAGCTGTATAAAATGCCATTAATAAAGAAACAAAACTGTGGTGTGGACTGCAGCTCCCCACCATTTCTCACCCCAGCAGTTTGCACTGACTGGCTTTGCCCTTGGAGCCACAGTTTTGCATCTGACACTGGTTGGTGGAGTTTTAGTATAAATGAAGCACATGCCACAAGCTTCAAGTCTACCGACCTTTGCTTTAAATATTAAGACAACCTGTGAAATGATCCTATCTGTGATTCAAAATGATGGGCTTTAAAGTTTAGCAAAACCAACACTTCCCACCACAGTGTTCTGAACAATATTCTTCAGATCCCAATAAGAGGTAAGTTGTAAACCTTTAAAAAGTTTGCAGTTTATAGAAACAAAGAACTTAGAAACATAGTGAGTCAGAACGGGTCTCCCAGGCCATCTAGTCTGACCCCCGGCTCCAGCCAGCTCCACACATGCCAAATTTAAACTTTACCATACTTTAAAATTTAATTTTACTATAATTTTAAGTAAATTGTGACAATTTACTGCAATCTCTGGCACATAAGACCATGGGCACAATCCAGCCAAAGCAAAGCAATTCAGATTTTATTAACAGCAATAGGAAAGAGTATGGAACATATTTAACTCTCTCTCTCGATCTCTCTCTCTGAAATCAGTGCGATGAAACATCCTTAACTTTGTCTGGATGCTTATTACACTCCTATGGAGATTACAGATATTTTACTAATTTACCACTTTGTAAAAAAAGAATTTCAAAAGGCAGCAGTATATTTTCATAATGAAATAGATTTAGAATTACCTCTGCCACATAACTAATTGCATCTTTCAAGTTGAGCTCACGGAAAACTTTAAGAATCCGGTCTCTGGTTTTTTGAGCCGATCTTCTCATCAGTACTTTACTGAGGACTTGTCTGTCAAAGTTGGACCACCTAGGTATTTAAACACACGAGAAGTCGCTTTTATTAGTTTAATGGTCATGGATAGTACTCTTATTCAGGTAACCAAAACTGGTAGGCCACTTTAAGTGGCAGCTCAGACACGAAGTAAGAAGCCAGAGGGATAGAGGACTTCAGAGAAAAAGCACTACTTTTTTCTGCTGCTGTATCCAACTATGTATAATTGAGTAGAAATAATTTCCATATAGGTATACCAGCATCTAGTGGCCAATTTTATGGCAGAAATGAAGCAAATAAATTAAGCAAATCACCAGTGGGAGAATTTCATTCGGGGAAAAGATAAATTGTTGTGAGCAGGAGTCCACATTCTGTGACCCTGCTGTTCCCCCCTTAACCCTTTTATGTAACAGGGACCTAACCTCTTCTTACTGTAGAGCAGGGGTCCTCAAAGTTTTCCACCAGGGGGCCAGTTGAAAGCTGTCGGTGCTGGGCACGGGCCAGAGAGGTGGTTCCGGCCATGCAAGTGGGCCGGCACAGGGGGGGCACGCGCACTGAGGCGGGGGTAGGGTGCGCAATGAGGCAAGACAAGGCGAGGCGTGGGTGGGCGGGTGGGCACGGTGAGGGGAGGCGAGGTGGGGGCGGGCATGCACCACGAGGCAGGCGCACAAGGCAGCGGCTTGCTCACTTGGAAATCATTTTCTCCGAGCGAGCAAACAGCTTGTTTTCTCTGAGAGAGCAAACTGCACGCGGGTTGAGGTGGGTGGCGGTGTGCATGTGTGTGGCACACGCGCAGTGGTCCAAATGGGCATGGTGGGCCGCATCCGGCCCCCAGGACTTAGATTGAGGACCCATGCTGTAGAGGTTCCTACAGTGCTGTCCCAAGACACTTTGCTGCCTGAAGCAAAGCCCAAATGCTATTGCCTTACTTGCACCGCCAATGGTTAGGACCAACAGTTTAAAACAGGGGTCCTCAAACTTTTTAAACAGGGTGCCAGTTGAAAGGTGCCGGCGGGGGGCGGGAGATGGTGAGAGGGCGGGGTGTGAGGTGGGGGCGGAGGTGCGTGGGTGCACATGAGGCAAGGTGCTGGCTTGCTCGCACAGAGATCGTTTTCTCCAAGCGAGGCCAAAAGGATCTCTGCGTGAGCAAGCCACCCCCTTGCTGCGCACACGCAGCGAGTCCAAAACCTCTGCAGAGCAGTTCGTGCAGGGGCCATTCCAACGCTCCTGCCAAGGAATCTTGTGTTAGAAGAAGATACGGGCTTAAGAGCCTCACAAGTTTGCCTTTCCAAGTAGAGTAAAATGCAAAGAAGAAAAAGCAGGCACTGGTGCTAAAAAGAAAGGGATCAGATGCACACATTCCTGAAAGATTTTGAACTGGTACAGCTAATGCAAAAAGCCATAAGTCTGGTTTCAAAACAGCTGGGAGAACTGTATGAATCCCAAGTCTTCATAGAAAGTTTTCCCAGGTTTTCTCTTACAGAACTAACTCATTTTACTAATTATTGATAGTTATTAAATGGCCCTATGTCAGGTGGCCATTTCTAGCTGTTGAGTCACACTTTTCCATTTACTTATAGCTGTTGCATTCCATTTAAGAAAGAGTTGCCTGACTGCACTTACTTGTCTCTCAGGTAATTGTGTCCTATTTGACCAGATATGTCTTCAATAGCTGAAAGAATGTGGTCAAAGGCCTGCAAAAACGAAGAGCATAGCATTAACCTTGGTTAGGTAACTGGAGAAACTGCCATAGACAACTTTAAGATAGACAGAGGCCAGGCTGGGATGGTGTACATATGTCGAGGATAAAACAAGTAGCATTGTGAGGGATGCCCTTCACCTTTGTAATCCCTCCTGAGAAAGGCACAATCCCAACTGCGCCTCTTCTAAATCTTGTTCTTCTCTTTTGTTCCTGTTAAACCATGCTGAGCAAGCACACAGTCCTCCAGGATGTTCTCTTGTGTCAGTCCCGACCTTCCTAGCTAACTTTTCAAATTCTGCTCTGGCAGGAATGTATACACAGCCAATGAAGACTAATGAACACCACCAATCTTGTTCTCTCTGGCTTTGGAAGGAACACATGAGGCCACTGTGCACTGAAGCAACCCAGGACGATTTGACTGACAGCAGCTCCCTCTGGTCATGGCCACTGAGCCTTCCTGGCTCGTCTGCCACTTGTCCTTTAGCTGAAGTTTCTGTGGGCAGGACCAGGAACCTTCTGGATAGAAAGCATACACTCTGGTGCTGAGCTATAGCCCTGCCAAAAAGGAACATGTTCCTTCTTGCTTCCTCAAGCATGTGGCAGTGGGGGGAATCAGACATTAAAATAAAAGCAGAACATCCTCATCTCAGTGTCAGAAGCATAATGTATTTGTTTCTTTGCTGAATGGGAGAGTATGAGAACTCCAACTCAAAAGTGGATTTTGGACCCTCTTTATTTCTGGAAAATCGCTAGAAAAGAGCAGATTCTATATACCAGGGGGTATCATTTTTTTAGGGAGGGTGTCAGATGAACCCGCTCTGCACTACCAGCTCTCTGAGGGCCGAATGATGTTGGGGGTTTGATGAATCAGCCAGACAAGCGGTTTTACTGCATGTGGGCTGTCACTGGCTGAGAAAGGCCTCTGCACAGTGAAGCCACTGAACCGGAGGTGCTAGGAGCAGAATGCATCAGGAACCTTGACTGGCACGGCTTTGCCGGTTCTGTGTCTTCTAAGGAGAAGGCTGTGCAGCAGCTGAAATCAAGCCATCTCAGTCCCCTTCACTTCTCCATTGCCTAGGAAAGCTCTAGATGTACCACTGTGATCATCACAGTGCAGCTATACAGTAGTATTAGAAAGGAGCCAGTGGCGGTTTGAAGGCCTTAGAGGAAAATGTCTTCCAGAATCCAGGCATGCTTCACTGAATTTGTGTTGAACATGACCCGCTTACCCTGCCATGGAGCTTTTCGTTCAGTTTGGGCTCTCTGTGCTCACTCTTTTTCACTTTCAACCACTGTACCAAAGGCTTGATTGTCAAACCCTGTGGAGGGAAATGGACAAATTAGCCTCACTTTAATAATATTTTTTAAAAGAGTCAGACAATATAGGTACTGAAATTCCAGAGGCAGGAAATGCAGCTGTGTCACCAAATGAAAGCATGTGTTTCAGGCATTTTCATTGTACCCCACTGAAGGAACTGTGGATGAGTGATGAAGAGGAGCTGGAGGTCCTGGGGGTGGTGGGTGGCTAATTTTACTCTGCAAAAATCCAGGGCCCACTTGCAACCCTCTTCTGATCCAGTATTGTGAGTTGTGCCTGGTTTGTAATATGTGCTCATGCAATCCCATTTACCCATTTGTGCTGGCATAACTCTCAGTCCTCAGTGAACTGCACAAGGGTCCTGGCACTGTTGACAAGGACGCCTTCCCAGTGCCAGCCACTAACACTGCCAGGAGAATTCGTAAAAGTGGCAAGGGGAACCCTCCCCTATAGCTGCTGATGGCATATTGAGGCACATGGGAACTCAGCAGGGCTGGAATGGGTGGTGGTGACCATACTACTTGCATGGCCAGGCCCACAACACTTTGAAAATATCTGGACAGCATGAAAATGATGGGCATTCCACCAGCCAGAGCTGGCGGAATTGGTAGTGCCTGCACTGAACCTCTGGCATGGAATGGAACAATTCCATGCTTGCCCAGAAAATACTGAAATGAAGGGCATAATTATCTGAAATAAGACCACTTTAATGACCTGTGTACATTTTTTAAAATCAGATTTTGTAATTTCTTAATACCTTAATGCAGACTTTACTTCCTCCACTTATTAAAACACTGTTGCGTGAAAATCATGATTTTCCTGACTCAACTCATTCAGTGAGCCACCATTAATAAAAATCAAAGGATGTAAATACATTCATGTATAAATATTAAAGAAACTTTAAAAAATCAAAAGAAAAAAATATTAAAATCAATGTTTGGTTACTAACCTTGAATAAAGCAGTAAGTCACCATTAAAAAGCTGTACTGAAGATTTTGTTTTTTAAGCAAATAATATTTACATTTGCAAAAGAGGGAGAAAATCTACCTTGGTTATATGGCTCTCTCATTAACTGCACTTCTATTAACACACTCAGGTGTGACATGCAAATGAATTTTTAGTGCAGAGAAAACTGTGTTTTGTCCCAAGTGGTGCCATGTAAAAACATAAAATGGGATCTCTGTTACTAAAATTAGGAAATATTCTCAGCAAACTGACATAATACTAGGGAGCCTGTATTTAGGGCCTACTTTTGATACTTCATTGGGCTTTCATGGCAGGAGAAGAAATAAATCTTGGGCTCATGAATGTCTAGCTTTTCTTGTCCCTCCCAAGTAGAAAGTCATTTCTGATCCAGATTTCATTTGTGAGATAGAAAGCAGACAGTTAAATGTGATCTTGAAAGTCAGACAGAGCTTCTATGTGGGGAAGGGAAGGGAGGGGAAGCAAAAGGAGAGGTGGGAATGTGTGTGCAATGAATCCCTCTATCTCAGATAAAGTTTAAGAAGTGATGTCCAACTAAGACCTCAGCTTTTCCCTTGAGGGCAACAAGAAGGACAGATAATTGGAATTTACCTGAACTATTACAGTGAAAAATACAACAATGATGGTTGTGCTGACAAAGAGGTTTTTATCTTTGACTTTGTTTTCATCCAGGAGTGCCACCAAAGCAAAGGCAACAGCACCACGAAGGCCACCATATGACATAACCACCTGGTCTATTATACCCAATTGGACCATTCGATAGTGGTTTAGAACCCAGGTCTGTAAGATTACACCTGTTAAAAAAAAAATCTCCTAAACACATGCATTTTGGAATTAAGAACAGTTTGACCACTGAAGGATTATAAACTAAGCCACAGCTGGAATACAATACTCCTTTCCTAGGAATGACAACCTTACCTAATATCTACTGAATGCATCAGGAAGCTGTCGCTATCATCCATCCCCAATCAAACTTGGCCATTTGTCCATGTTTATCTGCATTAGACAATCCAATCAGTTCCATGGGGACCAGATGAACACTGCAGTGAGCTGAATTGGTGGGTTTCTCTTAAATGATAACAATTGCTTGGAAAGATATACACAGTTTTTGTCTTTGGGGTTGCTATTACAATCTTTGCTTTCTTTATCACTATGCTGAAAATTAACTAGCCCCCTAATGAACATGCACTTTGGAAATTCTCAGATGCAGACTAAAATATTATCACATCATTTATGTTTAATCCCCTTTAATGAATTAAAGTAGTCAATGGAAGCTTTCTCCAACCTGGGGCCTTCTGGCAGGGCTGATAGAAAGATACTGGCCTAGGGAAGGCTGGAATATTGAGTCCACAGACTAGAACTACCTGGGTCCAGCTTCTGATCAACTAAGAGGAAATTAAATGCAGCACGCAACAATCACATTATAAAGAGGAAATGTTCACTGGGCAGTTGCTGCTGTATACTCAAACAGCTTGGCCTTGGAAAAGCCAATTCAGTCATGCAGTATGAGAAAAATCCCTCACCGATACAATTAAACCTTTCAATGAATTATAGCATAACAGTCTCACTTTAATCTCTTTTGGAGCTCTGAATGGTGTGTTACTGTAGAAGCTGAAAGACTGGTGCAATTGCTTCTAAGCAGAAGGTGTGATGAGTACCAGCACACCTGGTCTTCTGTTTTCAGGAGACCAACATTCCTAATTTATGAGCAGAGTTAGCAAGGGCAAGAAAATAAGTCTTGTTACCAATGACTCTGTAGACTGAGATGAAGAGCAAGGTCAAGAGTATGAAAGCTGTGTTCCACGTCCAGATATTAGGGTCCACTGCTGAAATTCCCAGAAACATGAAAATAATAGTCTCAGCTCCGCTAGCCAACATCTTCATGGTGTATCGCACTGTGGTGGAAGACTGCTCAGAAATATTTGCCTTGACATATTTCTGACAGCAGATACCACAGAAGGTTATGCTGGAAGAAATGCAACAGATGTCTTAATTGTCTGTCCTTGTAAAATTGGTGTTCTACTAAATTTGATATTTTGAAATATAAAAACTGATTTGTGCCAACCTAGCACCAATATATGAGCATTTTGGCTTCAGTATATCACTGACATACCACCCTGCCTTAGGCCAGATCCCTTGTCTAGGTACATCTCCTGCAGATATTAGAGTTTTACTGGCCATGGCTTTCCCCTACATGTGTCTTAAAAGGAGGGACTAGCTTCTCCATTAGCCAAATTGAGACAGCTGCCTCCAGCAGCAGACTTTGAGTGAAAGGGCAGCAAATTACTTATCACTATTGTATTTTTACTGCTGGGGGTGGGGAAGGGTGCTTGTGGGATCTACCTCAGGTGCCAGAATAAACTGGCTCGCTTTGGGTACAGTGAACCTTGATTTGGGCAGAGGTGGCATTTGCTGCTCTTGCTCAGGCCGCAAAATGTTTTGGGCCAGCCTTGCATAAAAGGCTGATATCACCCCAAATGACTCACAGGCAGCCATGCTGCTGCCACACATTGCACACAGCCACAGCTATTTTTAACACTTCAGTTAGTTAGGCAAGGACAAAAATATGGACAGTTAGTGAGGCAAGGACACAAAAATATGAGGTTTTTTCTGTTTTAATTCTGGTTTTTAAAATAAATTTAATATTCTAGAAGACTGTATTGTATTTGTAATCTTTGCAAACTTCTATTACGTTTTACTTGTATAAGTTTTTAATCTTGTCCCAGGGTCCCAGGTACTGGGCAGAGGTGGATGAGGATGATGATGATGATTATTTACAACAACACAGCCTGCAATTAAGTTATTACTGTTCCACAGAAGGCCAGACCAAGATGTTTTGCCACCTTCATGTGGCTACAATGCACAATTTGAGATGTGTGCTCTTGCAAAGACAAAGAAGGGAGAGGCACACCCCCTCTCTTTATTGTTACAGATTTTACCTTATGACTTCTCTTAACACAGTATCTACATAAGAACTGCTGTCTTTGTTCCAATTAATTTCTGGATACAATCAATGCCCTTTATCTGTAATCTGTGCAAGACATAGAATTTGCCTCCATCCAGCCTCCCATGTTTCCATTAATTTCTTCAGGCCTTTCTTGATTTAAAACAAATCCAGATAGATTAATTTTTCAACCCAGAGGGTCACTACATTCATTTTCAAATGTCATCCTTCCATGGAAACACCTGAAAGAGCCACCCATCAATTAACTGAAACTTCTTACGCAAGGATGGCTGAAAGTGAGAGCATCTCAGCTGTCAAGTAAGATAGGTAGGAGATGACAAATACAAATCCCGGCTCAATGATTCGGACATGCTTTGTGAAGCGAGTGACAAGCGAGAGCAGGAATGCAAAGACGACACCAATGAACGTACCCCCCAGGCTCACCACGAAGAAGGACACTGCAGCAACAAGAACAAAAAACAGACACAAATGGTGTTTGATTTTAAAAGCTATACATACTTAGCCGATGTCTTTTTGCATTACTGTCTGATAGCTAGAGAGGTTTGGAAAATGCTGCTACAGTTCTATTACACAAGAGGTGTAGCCCCATCTATCCAAACTATTCCACAGTGGGCAGGGTAGTGATGTCCATTCAAGAAGTTGTATCTTGATAGTAAGAATCCCTCCATTATATATACAGAGAGTGTATTTTAGTACTGCAAACTCTAAGGAAGTGCATGGAGGCCTTTCTTTCACAGGTTTAAACTGCACTCACTTTGAAACAAGATTAACTGAGCCATCCATTTCATCCAAGACTGGATGAGACTAAAAATAGAGGAAAGATTCCCCCTCAGCCTTTGTGGAAAAGTCCATACCAAGTTCTCAGGCTGTGATCAAATGCCAAGGACTACAGCGGTGGAAAAGCTAGAAGCAGCTGAGTTACAATGTAAGGAACCTCTGAATCCATAGAAAATAGGGTCAGAGAGCAGAATGATGTACTAGTAACCTTTCCCTTCAGATTTCTACTGAAATAAATTCCTGAGTCCAAGTTCAAACTATGCTTTAACCAAAAGAAAAAAAATTGCTATCCCAAGGTGTGCAAAATTAGAAACTTCTTATACCCAGTTAAGACGGACCATTCCAACTGATCCTTGTGACAAGAACCAATAGAAGGTGAAAGAAAAAAAAGTGGCTGGATTCATACCTAAAGGCCAGTTCCAGAGCCAAAATCAGGACTCAGTGCCAAGGAAAGGGCACTGAGAGCTCAACAACAAACAAAGCTTACTAACTTTTTGGCTCTGGCCTCTTGGCAGAGCAACAGAGCAGTGGAGGCAGAGGCTGGGAGAGAGTGCCTTGTGGCCAGGGGAGTGGCGAAGGCAAGGGAGGAGCTGGGCAGGGGAGCAGAGAGGAAGGGGGCGGGGCCAGAGAGGCTAGAGCAGCCAGGAGGGAGCAGACAGGCGGGGCCACCGGCCTGAGGGGCTGATAAGGTGTTGTCCCTTGTCTGTGTCCCTTAACTGTGGCCCAGGCTGTCCGGGGTCTCCCTTCCCTGGGACGTAGAGGTTTGGGTTTCTTTCCTTCCTTCCTTCCTTCCTTCCTTCCTTCCTTCCTTCCTTCCATCATTCCTTCCTTCCGTTTTTTTTTTTTCTGTGCTGTGCTATGCTCTGTTTTTCCTCCAATTTAAATTTAAGTTTATTTTATAAATTAAGTTTATTTTATCCGTGTGTGTGTGTGTGTGTGTGTGTGTGCGCGCGACTGGGTTTTTGTCTGGGAGAACTGGGCGGGTGTTGCTGGTGTTGCTGTCACGGGTGTTGCTGTCCGCTGCAACAGCTGCGACATGTTTGCCCTTCTACCCCAGGAAAGACAGGGTTACACTTGCCCTCGGTGCAAGATGGTGACCCTGCTAGAAGAGGAGGTGAGGTGCCTGAGGGCCGAGAGAGCTCTCCAGGCCCCCTGGGAGCAGCCCCCCTCGTGACAGAGGGTTGAGGGAGAGGCCACGGGAGGAGCAGCCGCGGAGACATGGAGGTATGTCACCCACAGGAGGGGAGGAGGCCAGCACAGACTCCTCCTTCTCCTGGCACCAATCTGGAGCTGGGAAACAGGTTCTCTCCACTTGGAGAGGCTGGGGCTGATGAGGCCTCAGGAGACCAGCAGGACCCACAGCCTGGGACAACAGGAGGCAAGGGGGCTGCTGCAGGAGAGGCGAGGGCCTGGGCACGGCTGCCCACCACCACCAGGAAGACATGGCGGCGGGTAATTGTTGTTGGGGACTCCCTGCTGAGGGGCACTGAGGCGGCAGTGTGCCGCCCCAACCTGGAGACAAGGGAGGTTTGCTGCCTGCCGGGCACACGCATCCAGCATGTGAAGGACAGAGTGAAGCGTCTTGTTTGCTCCGGGGGTCACCAGGCACTCCTGGTGATCCATGTGGGCACAAACAAGGTGGCCAGGCAGGGTGTGGTCGGGATCAGCAGGGACTTCAAGGCCTTGGAGAAGAAACTCAGGGAGCTAAAGGCCCAAGTGGCCTTCTCATCGATCTACCCAGTCCAGGGATTTGGGCCAGGCAGGGACAGGAGGGTCTCCAAGGTGAACGACTGGCTTAGGGTGTGGTGCCTGAAGGAACGCTTCGGGTTCCTCGACCATGGCACCTGGTTTCTTGCCAGTGGACTTCTGGCAAGGGACAGGTTGCACCTCACGAGGATGGGAAAAAGGTCCCTTGGAGATGCTCTAGCGAGCTTCGTCCGGAAGACTTTAAACTGAGCGGGGGGGGGGGGGGGTTCAGGCCTCCCAGAAATGTGTCTGCACTGGACAAGTTTGGGGAGAGGATCAGGGCTCTGGAACCAGGGTTTTAGAGGTACTGCAGGGACTGACAAGACTCCTACAGAGAGGGGCCAGGTATCAGGGAGGATGGGAGGAAGGAGGAGGAGGCTGGGAACTCAAAGGAAAGGAAGCGATGGGAAGGAGTTGAGGTGCATGTACACCAATGCTAGGAGCATGGGTAATACGCAGGAAGAGCTTGAAGCTCTCCTGGGAATAGGAGGGTGTGAATCACAGAAACTTGGTGGGATAAAAGGCAAGACTAGAATGTGAACATAGAAGGGTATCACCTTTTTAGAAAGGACAGGAAGGAAAAGAGAGGTGGGGGCGTGCCTTTATACGTCAGGGAAGGGATAGGATGCAGTGAGACAGAATGCAGCACAGATGGGGATTCGGTAGAGGCAGTCTGGGTGAAACTTAGGGGTTTTGACAGGGAAAGAGACCTGACAGTGGGGGTATGTTATTGCCCTCCAGGTCAACTTGAGACCCTGGATGATGTCCTGACAGGCCAGATTCTAAGGATATCTCAGCGGAGAGACACAGTAATTATGGGAGATTTCAATCACCTGGATATTACTTGGGAGACTCACTCGGTGGTGACAGCCAGGTCACGTCACTTCCTAGAAGCTATAGAGGGAGGGTTTCTCACACAGAGGATCCGAGAGGCGACGAGGGGGGGAACATCCTTGACTTGGTCTTGACCAATAGGGAGGAGCTGATAGATGAAGTACAGATTAGGGGAGCTCTGGATGCAAGTGATCACTCCATCCTTTACTTTGAGATCAGGGGACAGGAGACGTGCAGCAGGTTGAGCACTAGAAGCTGGGACTTCAAGAGGGCCAAGCTTTGGCCAACTGAAGGCCAGACTGGGGAAAATCTCCTGGGATAGGTTACTGGAAGGTAAGCGAGTTGAGGAGGGGTGGATAGCACTCAAAAGGGAGGTTTTGGAGGCGCAAGCCTTGACGATACCTCCAGTCAGTAAGGTGGGGACACAGAGGAGAGTGCTGCCATGGATGCGAAAGGAGGTGGTTATAGGGATTAGATGAAAGAGGACCCTTTGTAGGAAATGGGTACTGGGGCAAATAGACAAAGGGGTATACCGGGAGGAGGAGGCCCATTGCAGAAGGATTCTTCGCAAGGCTAAGGCTGATTACGAGCTGAGACTTGCCAAGAATATCAAGCGCAACAAAAAGGGCTTCTTTCAGCATGTAAATAGCAAAAGGAAGGGGAGACAATTGGTGGGACCACTAAATAAGGAGGAAGGAGATCCAGTGACTGATAGGATGGAACAGGCACAGATGCTAAACGACTATTTTGCCTCTGTGTTCTCCCCAAAGCAGGACGGGGGATATCCGCATAGGAGATTAGATGAGGCTGGGGACTTAGGGGCACAGATTAGAGTCATCCCACTTGAAGTTCAGGGGCTCCTCAAGGCATTGGACATTACAAAGGCACCAGGTCCTGACGCTTTACACCCGAGAGTACTTAAGAGAGTTCGCAGGGGTTCTCTTACACCCGCTGGCCTCCATTTTGAGACCTCGTGGAGAACGGGTGAAGTTCCAAAGGACTGGAGGGTGGCATCAGTGGTCCCAATTTTCAAAAAGGGTAGTAGAAGGCACATGGGGAATTACAGACCAGTTAGCCTTACGTCCATTGTAGGAAAAACAATGGAAAGGGTCATAAGAGAGAGAGAACTAGTGATGCTAGATAGGGAAGGGAGGCTGACAGCCACACAACACGGCTTCCGCAAAAACAGGTCCTGGCAGACAAACCCTGTGGAATTCTATGACAAGGTTTTGAGATGGCTAGATGGAGGGGATGCAGTGGATGTGGTATACCTGGATTTCAGCAAGGCCTTTGACAAAGTTCCCCATGATATCCTGGTGGAGTAACTGAGGAGTTTTGGGATACACCAAAGCACAGTCCGGTGGATTAGGGCATGGTTGACTGACCGAAAGCAGAAGGGAACCATTAGTGGGGAATCATCGGGATGGCGGCCAGTGATAAGTGGGCTCCCCCAGGGCTCTGTCCTGGGGCCGATCCTGTTTAATCTTTTCGTTAACGACATGGAAGAAGGGGTGAACAGTCTGCTGATCAAATTCGCAGATGATACTAAAACTAGAGCAGTGGCCACAACTGAGGAGCAGGTACTCCAGATCC